AGGAAGCAGAGCGACGTGGCCCCAGCCTGCTCCACTTTCCTTGCCCCAGCCCCAGTCATGTTGCTGGGGGGGAAGGGGGGGAGGGGAGTTCGGGAAAGGTCCTGCACTCATCTGCCGCGGTGCTCCGCTTCTCGCCGCAGGTGAGTGCGGGGAGGTTGGGGAAAGGAAGCCCCCCGTACTCACCTGCGGCGGGAAGCAGAGCGCCACGGCTGGGAGGTGGCAGAGTGGAGCGGGCTGGGGCCGGGCTGCTCCGCTTCCGCTGCTGCCGGTGAGTGCAGGGGGGATCCCTTCCTCCAAGTCCCCTCCCCCGAGCGACATGGCTGGGGCCGGGGCAAGGGAAGTGGAGTGGGCTGCTCCCAGCCCCCCGCTAATCCCCAGGGCCACTCTGGGACTGCGGGGCCCACAAAAGTGGCCCCCCACAGCTCCTGCCTCCCAGACACTGGAGGTGGGGGGAGAGCCCCAACCGTCCCCGAGACCCTCTGCCCCTTATCCAACCCCTCAGCCCCGGCACCCTTAACACGCTGCTCAGAGCAGCGTGTCAGAGCTTTACCGCCTTGTATGCGAACCCGTGTTATATCAGGTCACGTTATATCAGGGTAGAGGTGTAATATTAACAATAACTAAGCTTAGTCCTGATTACTTTAGAACAGCCATCTCCCAATATGTCATGCTACTGGTATTATTTATTGGAATAGCAAATGAAAATTCGATGTTGGTCCTCCACCTAACAAAAGGGGCGCAAATCTGGTTGTGGACTTTATTATTTATATTAGGGTAGCACCTAAACATTTCACAGACAAAGCCCTCTTTGAATTCAGAGTTGATAAACAAAACTATTTAATACAACAAAATCCCATCTAGGAGATTTGGTGACAATATCTATGCATGCCATGGACACTTTTATTTTTATGTATAAATAGCCACTATTTTAATGGACCACCAGTTTAATGGCAAATTCTGCTGGTGGTGAACTCAATGGGACTTTTGCCACTGAATTCATGGAGTGGGATTCTGCCTTTATCGTATGGAGAAATCTGCTCATCTTCCTGAGCAACAGAGTGATTAAGGAGGCCCACTGTACCAACCAGTCTAGTTCCACTGTCGTCAAATAATACCCTGCACTGCCATCTTGTCCAGTTCATTATAGCTCAGCAAAATGTCTCTTGAAATCTGACACTGGCTGAGATTAACGAAGGGGCAAAAGGGAGCTAGGCACCCAAATCGCACTGGAACTCTATGGGCACTTTGGAAAATTCTAGCCACTGTTTGACAGCTCTCTCACACCAGTAAATGTTCAATATCAATGCGCTTAATTCCCCCCTTCAAATAGCTCATTCCCAGCTAACATTGTATTGCATTGGAAACACTCCTCTCCCCCTTTACTTACTTGCTGAAATTAAACAGGAGTCTTTCAAAGACAAGGACAGGTCCTGTGCTGCTCAGAATTGTGAGTGGCTGACCAGCAAAAAGGCAAAAGACCGCTCCAGTGACTGCTGTGCCCAGAAAGCTCTCCAACACGCCCTAGGGCAGACATACAGTACAGATGTTAATTTCAACGGACGCGCCACTTCACTCTCCCTTCTGTAAGCATGAACGCAAGAACCTGTGGGGTTATATCAGATACCTACAGACTGTATTAGGTGGGCATAAGATTAGGGGCTCATCTGAGGGCTGGTATCTAGCATAAATTCATGCCTTCAGTTATTGATTTCATAAAATCTTTAGTTACTCGTGACAATCAGCCAACCAACACACCCCACCACTGTGGTTATTCCAGATACCTTGGGCTTTAGCATTGTTTTTGTTGTCCGTGGAGACGTTCAAAAAGGGCCTGAAGGATGCAGGAGCACAAGTCCCATTGGCAATCTCCCACATTATGATGACAGAGCCCAAATACATTCTTTTGCAAGGTGCCTCACAATACACAATTTTAAACATGGTACAACATGGCTGGGGGACAACAAAATTGTGTCAGGGTTACACCGATGAGGTTACTCTACCAAGCTTAGCCCGTACTGTGGTGAAGCAGAATATTTTACAAATAAATAAATGGGTTTAAGAAAAGCAGATTCCTCTTTTCATAACAGGTTTTAACCAGTGAGACTCAAATCAAACAAGACTAATTCATCCAGCATTGAAGTGTTAAGACCCAAGTTCATCAGATGTCATCAGAAAGTAATAAATTCCACATTTTATGGTCTCCATCATTTCCTTTGGTATATGTAATGAAACAAGCTAACCGAGGAGTGATAAATGAATATGCTGTAGACATTTCCTTGGATTTTCATGTAAGTTACTACTGAACGATATCTATTTTTATAATGCAAAGCACAAATACAACTTTAGTGGCAGGTTTGGTTTACCAATAAAATGTAAACAGCATTATTGACAATACAACCTACAGTTTTACTGAAATGGTAGTAGACAAGGGATGGAAATTGCAAAAAGCACTCAGCCACCACCGGGAGCAGAGTTAGGTCAACCCCACCCATAAATACACTTGCACATATGAGCTTTTAAAAAACAACTACAGGAAAAAAAGTTGTCTTTAATTGAAAGTACATTTTCTTTCCACTGTCCCAAGGACTGAAAACATGGTATTTAAGTCTACTTTTCAAAAATATTATTAATATTCCTTTCAGAAACAAAGCAGAAGTATTCATAATTTTTTCCCAGACAAAATTATTTGTAAAATCACATGAAAATTGCTACTTAAGTACCATGCTGAACTATGCAAGAAGAGAGAGATTTTCTTAAATAGAAGGATATTGTTTATGCCACTATGTGACTACAACTAATTTTAAAAAGTCAATGTATTTTATCACATCCATCATCAATGATAGTTTATCTGCAACGTGTACTGACATTACTTAAAATGTGTCACTCCCCACAGGTGTAAAGTTGGCTTAGTGTAACTGGTGATTTCCCAACCTGTATTTCAATGGAGTAATTTATTGCTATCATCAACGCTTTTAAATGTTTTGCCAAGTTTTATCCATTACATTTTACACCCAATAGTAATGATGTGTCTGGAAGGGGTTTTACACACGACCATTTGATCTGTGGCCATGTCTACACAGAAAATAGCCCACTCTTCAATGGTGGGAACGTTAATGTAGTCCAGCTGTCGTTTCACCCCGCTCCGAGAAGGCCAAGATGACCTGGCAGCAAGAACACCAGCAGCCAGTTGCTGCTCTCACCACCACGAGCACTAGTGGAGCTGTGCTCGTACCACAGCAGCTTTGGGAACGTTTTCAGAAAAAGCTCAGTTCAGGCACCCGGCCTGTTGTAGTCCTGTTCTCTATCATTAATGGCTCTTTTCATTTATTCTTAAAAACCGTGTCCACACTGAAAGCAGAGCCATGTTAGGCAGGACTGAACTGAAGCTTAGACAGGTTGCTAGAAGGTTCTAGCAAGGTTTCTCTGGTTAATATTACGCTAGTGCCTAGAGGCTGCAGCCATGTTCCAGGCCTCATTGTGCAAACACCCAGTAAGAGATAGTCCCTGCCCTGAAGAGTGTACAGTCTAAACAGACCAGGCAGATAAACGGTAGAGGAAAGGAAGTATTATTATCTGCATTTCATAGATGGAGAAGTGAGGCACAAAAGGATTAAGTGTCTTGCCCAAGGTCAGGCATGATGTCTGTGGCATAACCAGGACTTGAGTCCAGATCTTCTGAGTCCCAGTTTAGTGCCTTAAACACAAGACCATCACTCCGCTCCTCTCTACATCACAGAGCATGGTTCTACACCCACTGTGGAGAAGGCCTTGATTTACTTCCTACTTTCCCTTTTCGTCCTCCTCAATTCCTCCTTTTCATAGTTTAAAGGCTATTGCTTGTGCCATAGGCTAACTGGCTCATAACCTCACTACCATGGAGAGGGAGGAACCACACTGCACTGATGAAACAGCCCTAACACAGCTGAACAAAAACTTCCCAGCACCAACGGGTTACGGACGATATCTTCCATTTGGAATCAGCTCACTCTGACATAGGTTTTTTCCTTCTTGGATCAACACAGAGACCTTTGACTTATTATAGAGATCAAACTGCAGCTTTTACAGACCATTTTTTATTTTATTTCTGCACTCTGTTAAAAGGAGCTACAGTTTCCATTTTTGTGGATCACAGTTTTAAAATGGAGACGTTTGATTTATTACAAACACTGCACTGGAAACTTAAAAAAAAAATCAGAAAAACTTCCAGGGCCTCTCATAAAAGAGCCATTTTGATATATTGCTCTTTAAACTGCAAAATAGAAATTCTGAAATATTCTCATGCCTGGAAGATTCTTATTAAAATGTATACCTGAGTCATAAAGCAGTTCTGTTCTTTAGCTTTTATATTCAACTCTGTAGAGCATGATGACATCTCTGCCCCTGCCCCCCCAAATAGCAGCCACGGTCTAGCTCCTGCAATTGGACTGTTCACATTAGTGGATCCAATTGCAGGATTAGGACCTACTTTGTATGTCTCATTCATAGTTCCACTTTACAGTGTGGTTATACTCTGAGCACTAATTGTAAACACTGCATCATGGGACTCCACTTTTATTCCCTCAGAATGACTCCACAGATGGAATGTGTTCCGTTTCTAGGATATTTTTTAAAATGGTAAACTGTCCCAAGGATCATAAGTCAAGCCATGTTTTCTTCCCCCTCCCCCTCTCTCTCACATGCTCAGGAACATTCTGCAATCACAGCTTGGGCCCTGATGCAGCAGAACACTTGTGCACATTTTGTCCCACTGACTAGGGGTAGACTTAAGGGGAGATTTAAACGTGCTTAAGTGCTCTGCTGAATCAGGACCATAGTTCACAATTCTGTTAATGAGGCACATGCCAAAATATCATCAGGAGACATGGTGATGGTCCCTGGTCTTGTAATGAGCGGCTTGCAGACTGACCCTTGTTCCATGCATCTCAGGCTGCAGGATGAACGTGCACCTGACGCCTCACAGGGAGCTGATCTCCTGAGTGCCGGTGGTCAGAATATTGAATAATACCAAGGGGTCCCGGGAATTTATGAGCCTTTGTCCATTTTCTCTGAGCGACTCGTGAGAATGATACAGTTCCTCTCAACAGAAGGAATGGCATTTGTACAACTGATTTCTCTTCTCTCATTCAGCACTAATCACAACAAGAGCATCACAGCCCACGGCATGGATTCCAACGCATCTGGAATTTCTTTTCCTCCACATTCCTTAACATGGCTGTAATTAAGAATAGTGTGTTTTCTTAGAAACAAAAAACCTTGATGCAAGGTTCCAAAGAAAGATTGGCCATATCTGCTATTCTTTTCTGGCCAGCTCCCTGGGTCAAACGCTACAAGCTGTGATGATAAACACTGATTCTGAGTCTCAGGCCCCGGGATATTATTTAACTATCCGCAAGAAACAAAAGCCATAAATTGTAACAATAGGCATGCATCTCACTTCCTGAAACATAGTTTGTATAGGTGACAAACTACTGGAAAACTCTCAGGGCCAGATCCTCAACTGGTGAACATCAGCATAGCTCCACTGGAATCAACAACGCTACGGCAGTCGATGCCCCAGCTGACAGTCTGACCTAGTCTTGATGCCTGTAATAGGGAAATAAACTTGGAAAAAAGTCCTAACGTTTGACAGATGGTTTCCTCTACTCCTCTTTTCAGGTAGCCCAGACAGATGGAACCTCTCTCTTCTGAAGAATCAATTCCCACAGCAGTTTCTGACCCATAACACATTTGGTTTTGATAATAAAAGGTATTGCTCATGCTCAAAGGTTTCTTACTGAAAATAAAGCTTCCAAATATTTACTCAAAGTGGCCCAGGGCCTTATTGACATCTGCTCAATTAGATCTGCACTTTCTGAGAAGTAAATGAACCTGTAGCCACTTCAGAAACTTTAAAAGTTTTAGGGGGGTATTCAAAAGCACTCATATGTTGGCCTGGACTTTCACCCACAGAAGTCAATGACCATCGACTTTAGGAGGACCAACATTGGGCTAGGGCTTCGTGCTTTTGAAAAATCACCCCCATGGTAATTGCAGAAGCTTTCAGCACAGAGAATGCTCCACTATGCCTCTGCATTCCAAAGGAGCCAAGGGAACTGGAAGGTGGCATTTTGCTTCATGTGGAATCCTACGATTTGACCAGTCGATGCACCACTCTCTTCAAATAATGGCACGGCCTGCAGGTTATCTAAAGTGTGAGCAGGTGGTGACAGACTGCTTTGGGATGTTTGCCGAGACTCTCTAGCACTTGATCCGCCAATGCATGATGCCCAGGCAGATTTGGGCAGCTTCGGTTTATTGGAATAATGTTTTTTTGTGGAACAATCTCAGTAATGATTTTCCTGTGCTTTGTGCCAAATTTGTGAAATAAAATTAAATGTCAATCTACTAAAGGTATCACCAGCCCAGGCTGCTGTGCACAGTACATACAACATCCCTTGCAGTGTCAGTGCTTCGTTTCTGCAGTACAAAAGGCATTTGTCTGGGAAAGCCCTGAGTGCATTAAAATGCGTGCATAGGGAGTGGCTGAAAGATTGACTGGAGAATGATCCAATTAGATGTTGAGCAGCTCAGAGGGTCAGAGTACCGTGAAAGTGTGTTACTCACTGAGCAGTAACAGAGTTGGAAATAGCAATCTCAGGCCGTTTTCCCATATGGTTCATTTCTATAACTCAGGAAGATTGTGGTGAGGATGCTCTAATTCAAAGCAGAAACCATCCACTCCCTTCTTGCTTCCCTGAACCAAAACCATCTGTGGCTTCCGTTGTCCTTTTCTGTTTTGGTGAGCTTCCCAGCCGCTCATTTAGACAGAAGTAATCTCCAAGTATACAGAGACAGGCAAGCATGGATCTCAGACAACTCCTTGGCCTGTGTGGTGCTGCTCAAGGGAATCTGCAAAGCAGGGACAGCCCAGAGAATGAACCTAGTTTCTGAAGAGATAAGAGGTTGTACATTGACTTTGCCCCATGCAAGTGTTGGTGTCAATCTGCTCTGCCATGCACTAGCAGAGTCCTCGCTGGATGGGGAAGGAAGATGGAGAAAGTGAACTGTCATACTTTGGGGACATATTCTCCAACAGAATGACCCAAAGAAACTTATAAAAACAAGCGTTCAGATTGCTTCTATTTCTCTTCTCCAACTCCAGGCAGACAGCAAGACAGAATTCTGGCAGAATGAAGTAAGATTGCAGACTTTTTCCCATTCAGTTTGCATGCTGGAAATCAAGCCAGCAATGACACCATCTAGAGATGTTAAACTTAGCATTGTGTACAGTAGCTAAGAATTTCATACAAATCCATGGAAGGGATCCTGGTCTTCTGAGTTTTGCCAGTACTCACTCAGGATAACTTGGGAAATCTATTAAAGGCAGAGAACACTTGGAGAAGTGAATTACACTTCGGATATCAAAGGCTGTGTCCACACTAGCAATTTTCTAAAAATACTCCAACAGCATATGAACCCTGGTGCGATTTCACTGGTGGCAGCATTAGTGTAGAGAGGTAGCTGGTGTTAATACCACCATGTTGTCCAATCCTGTTCCGAGTAAGTCTAATGATTGTTAAACGCACTAGTTTCCCACCATATGTAGGAGTGCAGTGGTGAGAGGTTTTTAAAAAGTGCCAGCATAAACAAGGACACACCACACATTCATGGTGATCTCCCAGCTCTGGAAGATGTAAGGGTGAAAGAGGTATTTGAAAGACAAGCAAACAAATGAGAGAAAGCATCACAGGACTCAGTCATGGTGTCTCTCTGCTTCTCCTGGAATTCTGTCATAAGATGCTCCATTTTATTTACAGTTGCCACAGAACTGCTGTGTTACTAAACCAGTATTTTAAATGCAGGATACTAGCACGTTCCTTTTTCAAAACTAGAAGTAAATCATTTCGCACTGAAAAGTGCAGTCTGGTAGATATTGCCTTTCTATGGGCATCTTCTTTGTCACAGCTAGATTAGGCATAACACAAAGCAAGCAATAAACTAGTGCACCGAAGTCTCTTTTCTTCCCTCTTTGTCCTTCTTCACACCGCCTCTCGTGCCCAATCATGACTTCAGATTCTCAGAGACACTTGTGAGAAACAAGACTGTCATGTTCATCAAACAAATTCCAGATTAAATCAGAGGAAGGCAGCACGCTCAGATATAAAGAAGATTCACAAGGTTCCTGAAAGAACAACATTAGCCCAGCCTGCAAGATGTTAAACAAAATGTGTTTATTCATCGTTCTCTGCACCTGGCAGCCTCAATATCATGAAAGATAACAAAGGGCTCCTACTGGAGAATAAAGATGATCAACTTTTCTTTTGGAAACTTCCTGCATTCTATCACTGCTTTGTTTCAAAGTCTCACAGACCCCATGGGCCCCAGGTGGCAGAAAGTCTCCCAGGGAAAAGGCAGAGGCAGCAAAAAATGGCCACACACTCTGCATGGGGACAGAGAAGGCCCAAAGGCGGACAGCAAAGTGTGGGATGGGAGCATGGCCAGGGGAGCCAATTCAATGCATCTCCTCAGCAGCTCCCACATATGGGTCTTCTATGAAGGTTTTGGAGATGCCCTTCTGTTGATGGAAACCTCAGAGCAGAGTGGCAGTGGAAATAACTCTCTGCCCCAGACCCAGTCAGACCCGACACTGAGAAGTTATTACCCAGTTACCAAAATTCATTGTGAAAGCACAATAAACTTACCCAAAGTATCACAACCTTACATCAGTAGCAGTCCTCAAAGGATGGACAGCACACAGTTATTGCTGCTGCTGTTTTGCTTACCCAAAATGTTATTTTTTTATTTGCTAAAGGAATGGTAAATCTAGGAGTTGTCCAGAATCTATCTGTAATGAACACGTGACAGGTAAGAGGGTTTTTTTAATATGTAATGGTCATTAGCATTTTCCATCAAGAACCTTCATTGTGGATTTCTGAATTTTGTAGCGTTTAAGTTTTGCTAATGCACTTTTTGTTCCCTGGGTAAAAAGTTAAGCATTAACCTCAAAGGTTTTTTGCCTGAGTTAAATAAATGGCTGTGCTGATATTCTTCTCCGGTGCATTAAACTCTCTGGGGAATCAGCATCCCTTTTACAGGAAATTTCACCTTCTTCTAGAGTAGAGCATATGCCACAGGATCATTGCTCAGCAATTGTAGAGAGATAATCATTGGTGGTCGTGGGTCCTTCTCTTCTATATCTATTTTCTCTTATCAATTTACCCTATGGGCCTGCGGTGGAGATGGGCTTTTGAGATTAGTCAGATTTGTATGAAGAAATTTGAAGTTTGATGTTCTTCCATCTGAAGAAGTGAGGTTTTTTACCCACGAAAGCTTATACCCAAATAAATCTGTTAGTCTTTAAGGTGCCACCAGACTCCTTGTTGTTTTTGTGGATACAGACTAACACGGCTACCCCCTGATACTTGATGTTCTACAGGCTGCTGTATTTTATTTGGTTCTGTAGTTTATGGCAGGAGAGTCTAGAACCTTGGCTAGGCACCCCTTGGTATTTGTTTGTTTTTAAATAAATCTAAGTAAATAAATAAATTCATTATTGCTATTGTCAATTTAATTATTGTTAGGGCAATCAGAGCTGCTCAATGGGCATTATTTAATTGCAATTGAATCTAAATAAATAAAATAAATATTTGTGGGTTTTCAATTTTAAAAAGGCCAAAGGAACATTAAACACAGTTGAAATGTAAGTACACTTAGGACTAAGGTAAGCAATAGACAGTAATGTTAACGTAGAATTATTTTTGTTTTATATATATTTTTTGTTTTATTTTTATATATATTTATATATATATATAAAAATAAACAATATATATAAAAAACAAAAATAATTCTACATTAACATTACTGTCTATTGCTTATCTTAGACCTAAGTGTACTTACATTTCAACTGTGTTTAATGTTCCTTTGGCATATGCATATTATATATATATATTTATTATCAAGCCACATCCTGACATTATCACTTTAATCCTTACTCATGCAAAACTCCCACTGACTTCAATGGAAAACTGCCTGAGTATGCAGTAAAAGCATCATAGAATCATAGAATATCAGGATTAGAAGGGACCTCAGGAGGTCATCTAGTCCAACCCCCTGCTCAAAGCAGGACCAATCCAGACAGATTTTTGCTCCAGATCCCTAAATAGCCCCCTCAAGGATTGAACTCACAACCCTGGGTTTAGCAGGCCAATGCTCAAACCACTGAGCATCAGGATTTGATCCTTTTTTTTATTATAAAGTTAATCATTGTAAACAGCTTACATTTTGTCTGTAGTGTCTGTCTCAAAACACGTTTTAAATGATTTCTCAGTCTACCTCCTTATCCCTTCTGTTCCTGGTGGACAACCACACAGCAGTGGTTTTTTGAGACAGACAGAAGACCCAACAAAGTTAAGCATCAGGCAGAACATGCCCTGTTAAGCTCTGATGACATGGAAAGTGTGAATCAGAATTAATACACCTAGTTCAAATTAAATAATGCACAAAAACAGTTAGCACACTTGAAGAGCACCAGTAATTTTGATACAGTAATGGCCTCCCCGCTTTCTCTTGCCTATTGCTCGAACACAATTTAATATAACTGCATCTGCAACTGCTAAAAGAACAGAAGTACAATAACAGGCACAGAAGTGAGGGCAATTTTAGTTAGAGCAGCAGGATAAATCTTGTGCTAAGTAAGCATTCTTTATACATGGCCCATCTGCTTCCCTGAAATGAGGAAAATTGGGCCTACATTGTTTGTATGAGTTCGAAATGATTTCTAACCTGCATGTTGTCCGTAGCGTCACCAAGCAGACCTCCAAAAGTGATAGCATTGGTCACTGTGGCCAGGTAGATGAAGAGAATGGCTGAAAGAGCTTGGATATTTAAAGCATCATAGAAGTCACTGGCGAAGAAAGGTATTTTCCTCTTTATGTCTTTGACTAAACCACCACAAAATCTGAGGAAATAAGATTAGGCAAGAGAAGAAGAAGGTGAAAAAAAAAAGTCTTACAATAACATTTACCATGATGAGGAACTAATCAGGGACATCATCAAAAACGAGGGGCTATGCAATCTGAAAGGATATGGGTCACTGCAGTTATTTCTACACAAGGCATAAATCGATGGGTGTTTGAGTCAGATAACTGCTAAACGGAAAATGCTTCAAAATATTCACCAGAAGTAGAATTGGGAGTAAAACGGTAAGAGGGGATCACAAGTCCAATGGCTCCTCCTTGATTTGGACGGCAAGGGAAACTCAAGCAATAGGAAGCCTGATTATTTAAAAAGAATGTGAACAGAATAGAATTTGGTTTGTATACGTTTCCGGTAGGCATTGTACAGAGGACAGGGTAAGTAACTTCACACTACATGAGTGACTTTGGTATCGATGCCCATTGGCATCAATCACCCACTGTCAGCATGAGAAACACAAATTTCACTTCTTATCCTCTCACATATAGTCCACCAACACCACAACCTCATTGGAATAATTGCATTTGACCCATCTACCTTCCAAACTATTTACTGATTGGAAGATAACAAATCTGTAACATTCTCAGGCGATTCAGACACAGCACATTAAAGAGATATGATGATAGACAGGCACACAGGATTACTGTTATGGTTCTTTATGACAACATGAATTTCTTGCCTTTCTTAGAAGGAACATTAACTCTAACTTGTAATTGCAGGCTTTCAGCTTTATTTTTTTTTAAAACCTGCAAACATTCTAATAATGTTTTAACTGATATCTGACTTATAACCTTAACTTTATATCTCAGCAAAGTTTTATATTTGGGAATAGTCTTAGGATCTCACAGCACTTTATAAAGCACCATGTTACTAAGAAATAGTAGTAGCCTGGAACCATCATCTCAAAAACTGAGGAATGTTACTTCAGCTTCCCATCCAGTCTGACAGTCTAGTGAGTGGGAAAAGAGAATAGTTTTAGATATCTCCCTGAGCTACACATCTCAATTACAGTAAAACACTACACTGACTGAGTTGCTGAACTGAACCAGGCCTAATTCTACATTCTGCTACATTAGATTGATACCAGCATAACTCCATCGAAACCAATGAGTTCACTGGCACGAAACCGAAGTAACAGAACAGGGAATCCGGCCTCATGCGACATTATCTTCTCTGTTTCTGTTCTATTAAATCTCTCTTTTGGGCTCTTCTACATTGTAATGGGAATGTCAGGAAACAGGATCTCTCTTTTATTGACAATTGATGGCTTTGAACATTTATTTTATAAACTTGTGATAGCTTGCAAACAGCTAAAACATTTCCACAAATACGAATGGAAAAGAATCGTTATTTAGGATGTACGCACTTCATAACCATCAGCGTAATTTCACACATTCATAGGCCAAGCATTTCACAAATGACTAGCAATTTGGGGGTTCTCATTGTTTGAGTCTCCAATCTAAGACACCTTGAAGGGGTCTGAGTTACAGAGGGCTGGTGCTTGGGATCCTTTAAAAGTTCTCAAGCTGGGCACCCAAAAATCACAGGTCACTTCTGAAAATGATAGTCATGTGCATAGCAATATTATAAGATGCAAAGTAAAAGGGGCTAAAAGGGCAAACCATCATGCTGAACAAATCAGAGAATTCATCACTGACCTGCCAGTTCGTTGTAGTTCTTCAGTGTCACCGTGGCCCCCACCTCCATGGCCCCCATCATGAGGCGTGTCTCCATTCATCTGTATGTTCTCCGCACCCGAATACATGTTTTTCCTATGCAGAAAGACAAGTCACACTGAGGATTCACTATGTTCCACACTATAGGACAAAAATCTATACCCAGCTCCATCACATAAGCCTTATATGTCATGTCCTTTTTGAAGTGGTGGCACATAAAAACACAGAATGCTGCTGCTATACAAGCAGCCAGACTGGCATGCTGCAGATAAGGGATTAACTTATTGCATACTGGAAGTTGTAAAATAAAATTCAATATTGAGCTTAACTACAGTTACAAATGGCTTGCTGTATTAGGACACACAGATTCTCCCAAAGAAGTGCTGGTACAAGCACAGTGCTGCAGGGACATTCCCCACGGGGTTATTAGCAAAGACCTGAAATTATAGCATAACTCAACATTCTCAGACACTGCTTTCAGGCACATTCTCTTCTACCGTCTCATGTGGAAAATTCAATACTAAGGGGAAAAAATGACAACTCCTCTGCTCCCTTCCCATCCCTCCCCTTCCACTGCACTGTTTGCACTTGCAAGCCTCATTCACCTGCCTTCGTTCCTCAAGCTCGGAGAGTAAATGCTGTGGATCCAACTTACGTGGCCAAGCATGTTTTCCTCAAGATACTCAACCCCAGTTGCCCTGCACTCTCATATAACTGAGAACGGGAGTCAGCCCTGCCTACATAAACATCACTTGCTTTAATGTAACACATGTTCTTGGGTTCAACTTATCGCACTCCCTTCATCTTCTCTAGTTAACAAGCCGGCCCAGGATATCCTACTCTGTTGTTACTGACATGAGCCCTGCTACTCCCTGCTGTTACCTTTTATCAGAAGATGGGAGAGATTTGGGGGGCTCTATCCTGATGGCAGGGTCCCACTCCCCAGGTGGAAGCACAATGACTTCATCCAGAAACTCATCGATTCCAGCAATCAGGTCCTGCCTGTCTTTGGCTTTATAGGCAATGTCATGGAACACCTGCAGGAGAAGCAAAAATCTCAATGCAGCAAGAGTTTTACTATTTTCTACAGCCAAGACTTACAACAGATCTTTCAGAAAAGCTTTAATACGCTCAATACACTACAAAAAAAAAATATCAGTGGTGCTTGGGCCAATCAGATATGAACCTCAGAGCAAAGCTGGCCAATGTTTTTTGAACAAAAAGACTTTAAAACAAAAATGGCCTTAAAAAAAAAAAGCCCCCCCTCACCAAAAAACACGACTTTCTTGACATGCTTTGTTTTTAACATTTTTATGAAAAATGTTAGCAAAATTTTTCATTTGCCACAAAGACAGTTTTCAGTAGCCAAAAAGTTTCAACAGATTTCAGTAATGCTTTGTGTGGGGTCGGGGAAAAGTCATCCAATTTTAAAAAGTCAAGAAACCCAAAAAAAAAAAAAAAAAAAAGGGGGGGGGGGGGGGGAACAAAACAAAAACAAAAAAAAAAAAAAAAAAAAAAAAAAGAAAAACAAACAAAACAAAAAACGGGGGGGGGGGGGAGAGTCAGTTCTGAACTGACTATGAAACAGAAACAACTTCAACATTTTATTCAGCATTTTTAATTAAATGTCTTCTGGCTACCTCTACTGATAGAGTCAGAGAGTTTAAGACCAGAGAGACCACCAGATCACCTAGACTGACCTCCTGTATACCACAGGCCACCAATACCACCCAGCATCCACACACTAAACCCAGCCATCGAAACTAGACCAGAGTATTACAGCCCACAGGAGACTAAACTACTGTGGGCCATAGGAGCGAATAGAAGGGACTGAGGTGCACCAGTGTCAAAGGTCCCTGCAACACAGGGAAGTAATTTAGTGGGCCAACTGGAAGTAAACGAGTGAGGCTGAAGCCAGTGGTTAAAGAGAGACAAAAGAATACTAAGATTTATTTTCATAAACATATTTTGAACCTTTCAGAATGACAATTCAGGTTGGGGGGAGATCAGCATATGGAAGTACTTGAAAACTAGTGGACTTTAAAGAGGCATTGGAGGAATGAGAGAGAGGGCACTTGGTGCATGGGAAATTAGGAGACTGTTCTGAGCACAGGGGCGGAATATAATAAAAGACAGAGTTTGAAGTGCGTGAATGAAACCAAGGGAATTGTCAGAGAACAAAGGAGCACAAGAAGAAAGAGAAAATGCTAAGATGTTGGTGATACAGTTGTGCAGAGCCCAAGAGACACTGAGAAGAAGCATGTTTAACTTAATGTAGATAGCATCATGTCACATTATTGGTGTGTATTATTAGAAAGTAATTACTAGGTACAAAGGGGTAATGTACAATTATTAGTTAAAGCAGTGCCCTGGGACACAGGGCAACACATGGTGGGTGTAACTATTTCGACAATAAGATGCACTGTCAGAATTGCTGTGGGGTACCTGTGATCTTGGAATGTGAATAAAAAAATCAGTTTATAAATTAACTCCAATGTATTTGAAAGAATTACAGATTACAGGGAAAGATGCAGGAAAGAAACACGTTCTAGTTCTACACATTTACAGAAGTGTGGAGGCAGATTAAATAATTAAGAAAAGGAATTTAAAGATAATCAGAATTTGATATCTCAGCTGTACATAAAGTCAGCACTCATGGATCCATCACCCAATTTGCCATCCAAAGCAGCCTCGTGTATGGTACTGATATGTGGAACCCAAAAAGTTACTATACAGCAAAAGAAGAGGATGGCTACCATCTAGGTTGATGAAACAACAACAGAAAACAATTGGACATTGTATGCAAATATGCCTACCTCATCGGACATCAAAGTGGCAATGGATCGACCGATCTCATGGTAGGACTTCGCTTTTCCCTTCGGACCCAGCAAAATGAATAGGAATCTGACCAAAAACAAATGGATCGTTACCATCCAGGATAGCAAACTGTATCATTTACTCATTGTACCATAAATTCGTCTACAATCAATAAACGGCGTGAACACAGAGATTCATCTTTACAAGGATCATACTGTAGTAGTTAGAGATGCAATCCATTCCACTTCCCTGTAAAACACACAGGATGTAATCAGATATTAAGAGTGAGATTTTGAAAAGCAATCAGCATTGACCTAACTGCTCCCATTGAAGTCAGTGGTAAAACTCTCATTGACTTCAACGGGACCAGATTTAGGCCAGCACTGGGCACGTTTGAAGACCTCACTCTAAACCCACAACGCAGTTGTATTTCATCAAAAAAACAAGGTGAATCTTGTTTCAGTGTATAGTAAATTCAGGTAAAAGTTGCACAAAATATGAGGAATCTAGGAAAATTTGCAAAATGCATTATTTTAAGCTTGGGTTTTCAGAATTGCAGAGTCACCACTGCTCCCACTGATTTCAACGGGAGCTCAGCCCCCTTCATAGTCACGCCATTGGCCCATAGGAGGAATGAGACTAGGCCTTTGCGTCAACAGCATAACTAGTGTGTGTCTTCCTCTGAGATTCACACACTTCAGTTAATCAAAACTTGCTACCCTAGCAAATTAGGGGATCCAATTCTTCCTTCAGTTATGTGGTCCTCGGAGTCTTTCCTCTAAAGACCTAGGTCACCACTACACACAGACACCTTGGCTCAGATATCAATCAGGTTTCTTTGTATTTTCTTCATCAAACCAGTGCTGTGATGGTGCTACACAGAGGGGTCTAGCAACCAGCAGCAACCCCTGCAACCTAATTCATGAGCCAGGTGCAGGCAGCTGCTAGAATGTAATACTCCTCAAATGCTCAGAGACCAGGAACATGGACTGATCACGTGCAGATGCTGTCCAAGTGTGATATAGCCTAGAGGTTCCCAAACTGGGCTCTGCAGACCCCTGGAAGTCTGGAAAGCCCTTGCTAATGGTCTGGCTGGTCACATAGTGCTGGCCCCTTTTTATTTCCAGCTGCTAAATTCCCTTAGAAGCACAGCTACATTAAATACTTTGCCAACATTATTCCTATTCCTAACTAATCCGGTCAATGATGAGTGTCATTGCTGCAATGGCTGGGGAAGGGATGTAAAGAGTGTCCCTCAATTTGTGTGACCCAAGCAAGGCAGAGTTCTAGCCCCTGTGCTCCGGGAGGGGTGCAGGGACTGCTCACTCCCTTATCCCTCAGAGCTCCCCCGTGCTCCCAAAAAGGGTGGGACCGCGACTCTCCTCATCCATCAGCCAGACCAGCCTCCTGAGGTCACCTTAGGAGAGCAGCAGGCATCCAGGTGAGCTAGAAGGGCAGTGGGGGGCGGCGCATTTGTGACGGGAAGAAAGTGTTTTAATTTCTTAAATTATTTATTAAAAACAATATCCTTGAAAACATCTAATATTTCCTTTCTAGAGCCATCAATCCCACAGAGCTCAGAAACACACTGCACTGCGTTTGCTTATCAGTGCTTCTCTGGGGATCAAGTATCTGTAGGATTCAGCATCCAGGACAGCTACTCATGTGTGAAGGAAAACTATTCTTTTAAATCAGCTTTTAGCTCTTAATAATTTAGCTAAACTGATTGAGCCTGGCATGCCTTGTGTTCCTGGTGGGGATACACAACACAGCCTTGCTGATAGTAAATGCTCCATAGCCACTGTTCATGGCAGATATTCATGTAAGTGGATTATATTTTTAACTTACACATACTGCAGGGATCACTATCTACAATATACTAAGCGTTAATCCTTTATTTGTTACCTGTTAGACAACAATTGCTTATTACTATGTACACACTTACTGGATAATATCTTCAATATGAAATCATTGCTCTTTACCTTCTCTGCCTTTGCTTCTAATCACTGCTCGTGTATTTTGAATGGGCGAGAGTAGCATTCAGCAAGCTCAGGCTGCCAAAGCTGAGGTGCTAACAAATACAACCTGCTGACCTGTTATCTAGGTCTTGTGGCCATGTTTTTATTTTTAAAAGGTGCCAGACTGACAGCTGCCTATCCACGAACAGCCACAGTCCGGGCAGCAGGAATGCCAGCTTCCTACATTCACCCTGCCCCTGTAGCTCACCCATGAATGATCGGGGTCACAGCTGAGCCATGGAAGGGTAGTTCAATCCCCAGGCCCGACTACTGGCTGAGAAGAATGCCCATTCATTTTGATGGCAGTTTTGTGATATGGCCACCTGTTTCACAGGAACTGATTTGAGACAATGCAAGCCAGACAATGCCAATCTGGCATCCAATGCAATCTTGATATGAAAGATGCTGTTATCCAGTTACCAATCCACTCCCTTAAATCATGGCAACAGAAGACAAGACAGGAGATCTGTTTTTAGGATTTCAGTTGACTTAGCAGAGCATGGGAATTATTGCAAACGACAATAATTTTCAACAACCTAAAAAAACAACAAGGAGTCTGGTGGCACCTTAAAGACTAACAGATTTATTTGGGCATAAGCTTTTGTGGGTAAAAACCTCACTTCTTCAGATGCATAGAGTGAAAGTTACAGATGCAGGCATTATATACTGACACATGGAGAGCAGGGAGTTACTTCGCAAGTGGAGAACCAGTGTTGACAGGGCCAATTCAATCAGGGTGGATGTGGTCCACTCCCAATAATAGATGAGGAGGTGTCAATTCCAGGAGAGGAAAAGCTGCTTCTGTAATGAGCCAATGGAAAAGGGTCCAAAGAAAGGCACCACAGCCATATTACTGCCCTGCTTTCTAGCAAGAGATTAAGGACCAAACTCAGCTTGGTGTAAATGGACACAATCCTCATCCATCTCAGTGGGAGTCAACTCCAGAGATTTTGGTGCCGAAATTAAACCCAGTTTGCTGGAGGGATACATGAGAGGTCAGGTGCCATGCCTGCTCATGCTAAAGAATGTGGACCGAAATCTCTACTAAATGGCATAAACAAGCATCAGAGCTCAATTTGGGGGGGAAATGTACTTGTGAGGAGGTGTAGAAACCCCACACTGGGTTGAGGCATGAGTGAGCCACACTGTCCTAGGGCCAAGCCTGCCTGCAATCCCTGTGCGGTAGCTGCTAATCCAGGAGGCAGGGCACTCCATATACAAATAACCGTGGCAGAGTAGGAAGTATCACAGGGTGAAAGCCAGGGCTGCCCACACATGGGGAGAACCCCTCTCCCCTCAAAGCAGGAAAAAGCCAACGCCGGGATTTCTCTAAGGGTTAAAGGCAGTTACTTCAGAAAAGGGTGGTGTTTTCTGGTTTGTTTCGCTGTTGCTATTTATCTTGTTCCCTTGATCAACAAAGTGATTGCACATGCCTCCTTAGCGGAAGGGAAAGGCCAGCTGGGTTAGTTTTCCCATCAGAAACCGATGGACGCTGGACTGGACACTGCTTGATGGCTGGGGCACTATTTGTTATTGATCTATGGGAGAAGGAAATGAAGACTCCAGACAGGTGAAGTCTTTTGTTTTTCCCTCCTTCACCACACATGATGATTCACTGTTTGGGCACCTTGTCAACATGCCACCCAGCCGGTTGCTTGCCTGGTGTTATACAGAAGCAGAGACTGAGAAATGTAAACCCTTGTTGCCAAGAGTTAGGATTCCCCAGAGAATGCCCCAAAGCTGGAAAAAGTTCCAGTGAGCCGCAGTCATTGGGACGAGGCTGATATCCTGAACAATGAGCAAGACACACAGATTGTGTCTACACTTAAAAAAAAAAAATCAGACCAAAGAAAAGGATGATCTCGTTATTAACCAATTAACTGGGAGTCTGGAGATCAAGGCTCAACTGCAACAAGCTTCTTGTGTGACTTTGGACAAGTCACTAAATTTCAGTTGAGGTTTCAAGGCATAATAATGGTGCAGAATCACAGGTTCGACTATGCAGTTCTGTACTGATAAACCCTGCCCACATACCCTTAAAACTCCTCTCTTGGTGTTTCTTTACCTTCTCTCCCATCTTAATGCTGCAGATGGGGGAGAGCTCAAAGTAATCTGCAGAATTTTAGTCTAGAAGCTTCATTAAGACCCACCCAAGTCATTAGCGTAAATGTGGTAAATAAGTGCTTGTGAAAGTGAGAAATTCCTAGCACTGTAGACTTAAAATTAATTATTAGAGACCAAAATGAGCAGAATAGACACGATTTTAAAAGCCTGGGAAATCCAATCTGTAATGGGCAGACACGGCACAGGGTGAAGGGCTGATGATGCCTCATGGAAAACTTTGAAAAACATTCTATTGCAAAACAGCTGTACTTACAGTTCCTCATCTGGATTTCAATTCCCCTGTTTTTTAATGCCAAGGAGGTAAGATGGCATAAGAACAGGGTCTTTGTTCAGTCAGAGCTCATGGGCTCTTGCTTCTTTCTTTTAAACAAAGATTCTGTTTTCATGGAAATATTCTTAGTAACGAAGCCTAGGCAGAATGATTTTTAAATAGAAAAATCTTTCAAAGATTTCCATTAAGCATCAGCTGCTCTGTAACTAAACATTATTCTGAAATCAAAACCAAACAACAATTAGAGGCAATAAAAAAGGGACTACAGAGACATCAGTCTGCCTGATACAGTCTAAATAACCCATACAGTAAAATGTGTTTGTTCTACATTTCCAAAGCAACATGAAGAAAAGGAATGAGGATGAAGGGGTGCACAGAATATTAGCCTTTCACCCTGTGGAGAGCTCAGTGCAAAGCTTACCTCTAAACCATAAGATGCTGGTGCTTGCATCCTCCTCCTCTACAAATGCCGCCCCACCCCCTTGAAAAGTCACAGCTGATATGTTGTCCATGGGAATCAAGATTAAATTTGCTTTGAAAGTGGAAGCACCAAGATGTCTAACATACTTTTCTGAGTAGCCATGTTATGTCATCTTATTACTAGGAACTTTTTCTTTTCCCTCGCTTTCCCCCAGGTTATTTATGACCTTCTCTACTGGAGTAAGACCTCAGTTTATGCCCATACAGCAGGATCCAGCTCCCATCAAGATCATTGGAGCAGGATGAGGCAGCATCCTTGATTGTAAACTCCTTGGGGTTTACACTTGTGTCTATGAAGCACTCAGCATATTTATGGATGCTCAAGAAAAATAGGCTAATTAATTAAGAGCATAAGAAGCAATGAGTGGGTCACCTGGTAAATAAATTTCCAATTATAACACTACAAAATTATACAGACACCCCAAATAAACCATTGCTCACAGTTCTACACCAACATTTTCAAATCTGGGAGCTTAAAATTAGGCTTCTGACTCCATGTTTAGCCTCCTAAATAGAAGTGGGCTGATTTTTAGAGGCACTGAGCAGCTGCAGCTCCCACTGCAATCACCAACTGGTCTTAGGCTGCAGTAATCCGTACCCACACTTGAAGTCAGTGAGGGTATGTTTGTACAGCAATGTAAGCCCAGATAGGGTTACTTTGACTCGGGTCTGTGTACTGCAGTATGGACACCAGTGCCCTAGGTTCAAGATGGGTCAGAAAATCCTTAACCTAAGGTTAAAACGCGATGAAGACGCTCAAGCCTGGGGTTCCCTGATGCCGGTCAGCTGACTCGAGTTCCACTAACCCTAGGCTTACATTGCTGTGTCAGCACAACTGCAGCCCAGCTCCTCAAAAAAATTAGGCCACTTTATGTAGGAGACTAAATATGGCTTGAGGAGGTCTAAGTTTGAGCACCTACATTTGAAAGTTTTGGCTGCGGTCTTTATCAGATAACAGAACAAGGGAAACCTAAATTAAAAAAAAAAAAAAAAAAAAACACAGAAAAGGTTCCACCTATTGCACCTTTTAGGATCTGCGAGTTCTGAAGTACACTTTACAGCAGACATGTTCACTGCACAGGGAGATTAAAACAAATGACTGAATGATGAGGTAGTTCATCATAGCCACTGTAGGCCCTTCTGGGATTTCCTTTATTGGATTTCACAGGATGCAACCACTGCAAATGGCTCTTCATTCCTCACAGAAGCACGTTAATGAGCCTCCCTACTCTGATTACAGCTAACATTTGGTTTGGAGGACAGCAAATGGATAATAATATTTCCTGGAAAAAATGTTAACATGGAAGGATGTATTGTTTTCAATAATACTCTGGAATAATTTCATGAGGTTATTAAGCTTTTCTACATCCAACTTCTCGGCTCTCACTATCAGAACAAAGGATGTCTAATTTTACCTCTACTGAGAAACAATCAGACATGTATTAAAAAAGAAAAGCAGGATCAGACTAGTGACTGAAGTACTGAAATGTACAGCAACTAGTAATGCTGAGACAGCAAAAACAGTTATTGCTAAAAATAATCCACCCTATTTTTTTCCAATGTATTCTTTAAAAAATACTCCAAAATATAAATAAATTAAACATACTCAAACATTTCTTAGCATTTCCATTCTAATGCTCCAGTGAAATAGATTTCAGACATGCACACTGCACCATGTTACCCGAACATCAGACAAGTCAATCTCTTTGAGCCCAGTTCATGACAATTACTGACAAGTTGCCACTTACCCATGGTTATTTAACTTGAATATGGGCCATTTTGATTCTGGTGTATTTCTAATCTTAGTCATATAAGTTTATAAACTTTAGACCTGTGGACTTTTGACAAACTTATCTTCCCATATCAGTTTTATCTTGTGCCTTAATAGTTTGTTATTCTTTGCTCATGTAAGTACTTTATGTCTCCTCTTATGACGTTTCATATTTTATATATATCCTCAAACTTTCTCAGCACTGTGCAAATATTTACTTTCATCATAGAATGGATGCACATTAAAAAAATTTAAATGTTCACGTAAAAATAAGTATTGGCACACTAATACTTTAAAAGTTATCAGGACATTTCAAACTCAGTATTTACAATCAATGTAAACTAAATCTGTAAATTGATATTAAAACACGAATGTTGCCAGGTGCTAATAAGTAGTAAGTGTGTAAGTGTGTGTGTGTATATATATATATATAGTAATACATATATTACAGTAATATATATTAATGAAGCACCTCTGCTAGTGAGGTGAAATTGAAAAAGAACATTGTGATTTAACTGAAATTCAATCTGTATGCAGCCTGTAATTCTTTTCATTATAACTTCATTATGCTTCATTGGTAGTTTAAGTACATTTTACTATATACTTTTAATACTAATTACTTTCATGGTTTCTGTCTAGAATACACAAAAAATGCAGTACATGTATCTAAAGTTCTACACTTTTTTAAACTGACATTGCCATATATTGCATAGAGAAGTAGTATGTAACTGCATAATTAAAGACTATTGTTATGCATATGAATAGACCTTTAACTGTCATATATTCAATTTTGTGAGTTAATGGCCCTGATACTGCCAATGTTTATGCATATGCTTTATTTTAAACATATGAGCAAGCTCATCCACATACTTGAAGTTAAGTATGTTCACATTTACAGGATCAGGGCTTAAATTTCTAACACAAAAAGGGACATGGTTACTTTAAAAAAAAAACAAAAAACACCACCACCACCACCACCACCACACTTCCGCACTCCTTGTAATAACAAGCAACACCCTACAATGACTATTATTGAAAGATTTTGTCCAATTTATTCACTTTTCATACAGGATAGCACTTTTCTTTTTTTTAATAATGCCAGGATTTCACCCTTTGCATCTTGTCAGTTTCACTGTCCCCCATTTATTTGTTAGGGTTCTTTGAGACAACAACAAGGGAGAGAAAAGCATTTTTAAGAGGAAGAAAATGTACTTATAAAACCAGAAAAAATACCAGGGAATTCAGGGATGAGTGTAGTACTTCCTTCCTCCCCCCCCCCCCCCCCGCCCCCAACTAGAGTTCAAGTTAATAGTGTCCCTTTAGTGTTACATTAATAAGTGTTTATGTATATTCATAGATTCATATTTTTATAGATTAGATATTACAACAAATCCAAGATCTCAATTTGACTGAGAAACAGCAGGGGTGATCTGTTAGCTCAGTTCTGATAGTCTTGGTAAAATATATAAATCCACTGCAAGTTACATTATGGAAAGCAATGGAGACAGTTCCATTTTGGAATGGTGTCATTATTTTAAAGGTGAAAACACTTTTCTGATTCATGTTGCATGTGCGGGAGGCTCTCTTACCGGGTAGGAACGGGGACTTCAGTCAGAGCACCCAGCATAACTGCCTGCTGCAGCCGGACGAAGGCAATGAAAGGGTTTTCCAAGAAGTCTACCTCACCAACCAACACATTGGAGGCCTCAGCATCACGGGGCAATTTCTTCATAAATTTATTCTTCAGCTGTGGCAGTGAGAAGAAAGGGGGGGGGAAATTGGTTCTCTCATTAGGCAGATTAATATGAATACATAATCAAACTAATCCAATTTTAGCCCCCCTCCGGTAACACTTCCATGATCTTAAAACATCCACCTGAACGTATCACCAACACTTCTTTGCAGCCAATATCTAATATAGCCATGTTATTTTATTTACTGGAATGCAGACACGTACACTGTTCTTTGTATGACCCACCCCGACCCACTCACAACTGTCAAGCAGAGGTAAGACTGGGAAACCCCCTCCCCCCCCCAGTGGTAGTATCGTTCCCCCCACAAGCTAAAAGAAGTCAGATATTTCCCCCCACTAAAACAGTTAGCAATGCTACCATTAGGGTGGAGAGCCAAGATGCTACTGGATTAATGGGGACAGGTCATGCCTCTTTTGGTTATAGTTTCTCTGAACTTCTAGTTTCAGGAAGACAGCATTGCATCAGGTCACCTTCAAGTTTTCATTGCAACCATAAGGGTTAGAGACTTAACAAATGACACCCTACGTTCTGCGGGATCGGATGGCACCAATGGGGACTATGGCCCATTTCTACCTCTTTGTAGAACCAGTCAGTATTTGCATAGTATATATTCCTTTGTCCTTTGCACGGTGTGAAAGCGTTAATGGAAGGATGGAGCACTCTACTAGCCTACCTAGGACTTTTAGCAGCAAAGCTGTGATGTGGATAACCCAGATTTCCCCAACCCCATCTTTCCAGAGCCATCCCATTCACTGACCCACTGGGAGCTGTGGCAGCTACTGCAGGAGTTTTTTGTAACAGCTCTGCTGGTCCCCAGCCCCTAGGGTGGAGTGCTGAAGCAAGCAGGAGGCTAGCTGGCAATTGCCCTCTACTCTCCCTAATGCCCTCTGTGGTCTCAGTGCAGGGTAGAGAATAGCGAAGAGGCAAACGGGATGGGAGCAGTTGTTAGAAGCAGATAGTGCAGCACAACTGCAGCATCCACCCATAGGCTTATCCTGTGGGGGGGTGGGAAAGAGATGTGGCCTATTTCCTCCATGACTTAAAGGGACCGAGGAGAACAAAGGCACACTCAACTCTGGGGAGGGAAGGGGTGCAGGGACCAGAGACATTAACTCTGGAGAGGGAGCAGAGGTAAAAATGGGGAAGAAAGCAATGAGTGAGAATTTGAGAGAGGAGAGAAGCAGGAGGACTAGGTGGGGGATGGCAGAGCAGGAGAAAGATGGGGAGGGATTCATGTGTACCCATGGGATGCAGAGGAGGAAAAGTCCCATTCTATTCACGGAAGCGAGAGAAGGGGAGATGTCTCGTGCAGCTGTTCAAACGCCTGCCATTCTCCCCCAGACATACCAGAAAGGGGGAGCAAGCCCCTGGCCCTTCCTCCAATGAAGACCCAGTTTACCAGTTCTCGAATACAGGTTGGCTAGCGAGGCTGGAGGATCAAAGGTCTCCCGCGCATGTTGCCTCCTTAGCTTTGGATAAGCATCCAAACTTCTAGATATTAACCCATATCCCAAACTTTTGGAGGATCTGCAAGCAGTCCTATTAAATCACATTCTAATAGCGACTCCTCGCTCTTCTACAGCGAGTCTCAGCAGTAGATCTTAAAAGGGCTTTACAAAGGAAGTCAGTATCAGTATCCCCATTTTGCACCCCAGAACGCACACGAAGCCCTCTGGGAAGCCGAGGTGAACCTGCTAGAGATGGCAGGATTGACATTCACAATACTCCCATCTCCCCCACAACTGTTGTACTATCCTGTTGTGGTCCCTGTAATGCAAAACTCCTGCAGCTCCACCACTGGGAACGAACCAACCAATCACACACTTATTTATTTACCTACCCATCCAGTAGTGGAGCTGCAGGAGTTTTATAATTTTATAAATATATAATTTGGAAAACAGTTTAGAAATTATCACATCATGAGACGTTTTCCTGAGCCTTCAGTTTTTTCAGGTGATTATTCCATTCATGTGCTGCAGGAGGATTTATTTATTTATTTAAGGTAGAGCCCACAGTGATGCCTACAGTTAGTGCTGCCTAATCATCTCCCCGATGGAGTCTTCTTCGGTTGCTTTTAAAACTTCTCAACCATTTGCCTTTTGATCTGAGATTTGCTGTGTTTAGTCTCAGCCCAAGAGAGACCATTTTCCCCCCAGAGAGGCACAGGTTCAGCAAAAGCTACTCTTGACAATTGGCAGGGATGTGTCCCCCTGAGATCCCCAGCATGCCCTTTGGAAGCCCAATGAAAATCTGTTTGCATTTGGATGAATAAAAGGCTTTTGGAAACACACACTTTTCCCCCACCCCCCTTTCACATGTTAACAGATTCACTCACTAACAGTCTCCCAGCATTCTGTTGGCATAACACATGCCAGAGTGAATCCACCGAGCAGAATTTCTCATTTGATGTGCAGGTGAGTATGGAATATTATCTGTGAGGGTCTGCGCAGAATTACAGATGATATGCAAAGGTGTGTATGTCAAGGTGAGGATGGAAATGTAGGGGACAAGACCAGCTAATCCATTAAAGAACAGCCATGCCTACCCTCAATGAATTCATGTACGTTACAAAACAAAAACTCAACTTGTATTTAAGTGTCTACGTGATAGTGATCCCAGATATTTAAAAACAAACTGTACATAACTATTATATCTAAAAGGAAGCAGATGTTAGGCAAGGACTGTTGTTCTTCCCCCATCCTTACCCTAATAATAGACACATTTCCCTTATTCCTGCCACATTATTTAAACATGAAAATAAACACAGTCCAAACCCTATGAAAGCTACAGATGTCATTGCAGGTAGTACTTTAGCTGTGCAACTAAAGTGTCCCCTGATGCTTCCATAACCAAGCAGACATCCATTATTTCTTAATCAAGCCATCACAATTAATGTTTCATCCCATCAGAACAACTGCCAACTTGATGGACTCCATTCCCCGCTTCCTTTACACTGCCAGGAAGGAGTGGGGAGAGGCAGTGAGCAGGGTCCACTGGTGCATGGAAGCACAGCATTTCCTGTAGGCTGGCCCTGAGGAGAATCCAACAGGGATAGACCTGCTGCTGGGTGGAGGAGCAGGCTCAGAGACTCAGTGCCTCTGATCAAGCAGCATGAAGGAATACCTGCTTTGCAGGTCTCTTTTTCCTGGCAACATGCTTCCCTCTCCTTAGCACACAGGACATCAAACCTGTAAGAGACCTCAAACCCCCTCTCTCTCTCTGAGTGATTCCATCTCCCCACGGAGGAGTCATGAGGAAATCAGAGTGGCTCAGGAATCAGGACCTGCGAATTGCTCCCAGTGGGGCTGTGCAACAGAGTTAGCAAAGCCACCTTTAACGAGGCGGATTTGAAACTAGTTTGTGCACTAGTTTCTGGGGAGTATCAAGCTGGAGGTTATCGGTACAGCAAACATTGAAAGGCTTGTTAGTATTTGTAACCAGTGTTTTCTCAACTTCTGGGGTAAGGCGCATTGCTGTGCCTCCCTTTACAGTGATGTTACACATCAGCAATGGAGGAATCAGGAATGGTCTAGTTATTACGTAATCCTGCCTTGAGTCCAGGGGACTGGACTCTATGACCTGCTGAGGTCCCTTCCAGTCCTACACTTCTATGATTCTAGCTACACCAGTACAAATTACTTTAATGTTGCCAATTGTACCTGGTGTGTGGATGAAAGTATTAAGATGTCTACCTTTCCATCAATATCAAGGGTGCAGAAAGACCATCTATGGTGAGACACAACATGCTGATAAACATTCTCCAAGCAGATGTTTGCTCCCTAGGGATGGAGGTGCCTTTTTAAATGATCCTGAAGGCATGAACAGCAAACAGGATCAAAGTAAATGGACCATTACTCTCTGAAAAACAATCATGCAATTGACACATGAAACTGCCTAAGTCACTGTGGGATCATATTGCTAAAACTTTCATCCTTCCTTGTTCCAGATCTCCCTTTCCTTCATCACCCTCACTCGTGGTGTCAAGGTTAAAATTTAGGCTATTCAAAAAACAAAGCAAAACAAAACTTTTCTAATAAAATCAGTTAAACTTAGAGCAATGTAGCTACCTTACTCTACTATGTCATTTATAAAACTCAGGCATTTTAATAGCAAGAGAATGAATTGTTAAGGACACCATCGATCTTGTACTAGCCACATAATAGAGGTGTTATTCCCATCACTTAGGAATATGCATAATCACAATACAAGGGGCCTGATTCTCCACTGCCCAGCCCCTTGTGTAGTCATGGTACCACAGTGTAAAGTGGGTGTAAAATGCTACCAAGTAAGACTTTACACTCATTTTGCACTCACTTTCCCCAGGGGTACAGGACTATGCCAAGTGTTGGGCAGTGCAGAATCAATCCCAATAACCTGAACTCTGACCCATGTAAGCAGGGCCGGCTCCAGCTTTTTTGCCGCCCCAAGCAGCGAAGTGAAAAAAATAAATAAAGCCGCAATCGGCGGCACTTCGGCGGCAGCTTTACTGCGCTGCTTAATTCTTCGGCGGCAATTTGGCGGCGGGTCCTTCTCTCCGAGAGGGACTGAGGGACCCGCCGCCGAATCGCCGTCGAAGACCCGGACGTGCCGCCCCTTTCCATTGGCCGCCCCAAGCACCTGCTTCCTTCACTGGTGCCTGGAGCCGGCCCTGCATGTAAGGGCCAGGTGGTGATTATGTTGTGCATCACTAAGACAATGTCCTTTATGTTGACAGGATCTCACACCCGAACACAAGATGCCAAGGGACAACGAACAGTGACTCTCGAGTTATACCAGGAACCGGGAAGTGCTGATAGGGGAAGATCCTGAAGGAATCACACATGACACATGCCTCCTGGCTATATTCTGACTCAATGTAATTTTCTAGTGAAGACAAGCCCTAAAGTTTAGCTTACAGAGCTAACCCCACCCCAGGGTCAGATTGTGCCCATGCATACGTGTGTGTACATATTAGAGAGAGAAAGAATACTTATACATTCTTCATATTTTCTCC